AGTAGATCCGTTGTGCTTCGTTCGCGCGGGAGTCCGTGTGAAAAAAGCAGAACGGAGAAGAGATCTTAAGGAGGAAACTGGTCGGTCCGGACCGGCTATAGGGCATCCGATCTCGAAAGAAACAAAGGCATGAGCCCCATGCCTTTGTCTTTTAAAATTTCTTCTAAATTTTTTCGAAATTTCTTCAAAATTTTGAATTTCAAATTAACGTAATGCCATGGGAGTTGTAAGTTGGACGGTGGAAGCGTTGCCGTCTGATGTCGGTTCCTCCTCGTGGTGGACGGTGGAAACGAGGGTTTTACCCTCGGCTAAACGCCGACAAAATATGTACTGGTTTGGTAGTAACACAAACACAATTCTTTTATTTTTATTTGTTTACTTATTAAATTTTTTTTCTCAGTACTTGAAAAAATTCCAGACTTTTGGAGCAAATTCCCTGACTTTTCCATGTTTTCCGGGCCATTTTTTTTCCCCTGACTTTTCCAGGTTTTCCAGATCGCTGGGAACCCTGAATGATGTACCCAACGTGATTTTTGTGCAAATTTTCCCTAAAAAAGTGTGTTTGCCGCAGGCAAACAGTAAAATCAGGCATTTTGTCAAATAGCTAGGCAATAGTCAAATATTCTAACTTAGATTGAAATTCTGATTATTTCCCTAATCTCAGACAAAATACTTCGTTGTTCCTGCAAGGAAAATTTTTCAGTAAAAATTTGCACCACACAATAGTATTTTAAACGATTTTCAGCTCCTGCATGAAGAGACACTGATCTCGAAATTTTCAGCATGTCATAAAATACAGACTTTTTGGAATTTCAACATTTAAAAATATGATAAGCAATTGAAGAGGCAGAGACAAAAAGAGTTCGTAGGTTTGATGAGTTATTTTTCCAAAAATAGTGAAAAATCGTGAGCTCTTCGCCATAAAATTAAAACATTTTGTAGACCGTCAAAATTTGAATATGTGGCATTTGACAAAATGCCTAATTTCACTATTAGCCTGCGACATATACAGTTGGCTGTACCTCTTGCATGTGCCATACCCATTTCTATCATTCAGTGATATAAAGTTCCTGATTTTTTGGTTGATTTTTTTGATTTTTGAATGACTGAGCCCAATATTTTTATTGTAAGATGACGAGTGAAAAGTAGAGTACCTTTGTAGACAGAGTATGGCCATTCGTATCTTTTTACTACAGAAAAACCGTTCCGCTTTTTGATTGGTCAACGAGTTTTTAGGCTTCAGATGAGTTGTTAAAGTCAGAATTGCAACTTCTGAGTTATCCGCTGAGTTGCTGAGCTCAGCGGAAGTGTTGTTAAACGTTTTCTTAGGTTATCCGCTGAGCTGCCAGTTTGTAAACAAAGGCCGCCATCTTCTCAGCAAAATTGGTCAGCGCTCAGCCATGTCCCATGGTCCGCTGAGCTGGCTGAGCTGCTATTACTACGTCATAGGCAATATTTGTTTTTGTTTTGCTCAGCGGATAACTCCGAAATGGCGGACTGACGTCATTTCGCTGACTTCCCTTTTTGAGTTTAACAACGCGTCTTTCATGATGCTCTCAGGGCCGTAAATAAACAAACAAGATGGCGACTCACTGTAACATCGATAAGAAGCTAAATTTGACAAAAATTTCAATTATACGGCAGTAACAATTTAAACTAGCAAATGTACGAATAACACACGAAAAAAACACGAAAACATTGTTAAATCGCTTTTCACCTTTATCACAGGAGGATGTAAGATGTGCATAACCTCAATCTTTTTTTTTTTTTTTTTTTTTTGAGAGTNTTTTTTTTTTTTTATTGAGAGTTTAGTGGCTTCTATTCCTTTAGGAATCTACAGCCATCTATAGGCACTATTTATTGTCCGAAGACATCAGGGAGTTTGGTAGACATCCAAGCTCGGGCTTACAAATTTTCACGGATTATGGCCGAGCGAATTCTGCTTACAGATCCACTCGTCAGTTCCATGAAAATTTGTCGCCACCACCGGGATTCGAACCCGGGACCTATTGACCTAGAGTCAGACGCGCTAACCACTAGGCCAACCTGGCCGGCTAACCTCAATCTTGCTTGCTGATAACAGCCATCTTGTTTGTTTTTTACGGCCCTAAGAGCATCGTGTCAGCCTATTCGCTCGCGACCAATGAAAAACCGGAACAGAAATGGCCATACTCTGTCTATAAAGGTACTCTAGTGAAAAGGTATGAAGTTTGAAAAAAGCGTACTTCAACGAGGACTCCTTTGAAGTTCTGGCCCATGGAGACGGTGCCGAGCTTGACGAGGAAGTCGCCGAGCTCGAAGCGGGGTCCCTTGGCCTCGAGGCGAGTTTGCTTCTTGCTCGTGTAGATGGAGGTCATCTTGAGCATGAGCAAGTCGAAGAGCTGATCTGCCACCAAAGTGATGGTCTTCGTCCCGTTGTCCAGGATCGAAAACACCGACGCGGGGTGCTCCGAGTTGTGCAGCACGTGCACCGTCCGCTGCTGCCCTGCAACCCCAGAAAATCAGAAAAAATCCGAGATTAACACAAAAACAAGTTCATTTGGACGTATTTCTACCAAACAGCAGGCCGATTATTGAAACCGATAGACAAAGCTATAGACAAAGACGACAAAAGGGATTTGGAGGGATCTTATTGGTGGAAGCGGGTGGTGGCAATAGACATAGGAGGTAGGTAATGGACTAACTAACAGCAACCCACCAAAGACCCGACAGTTAGTCCATCATTTTCTTCCTTAGTCTATGAGAACACCCATGTCAACCAATAGGATCGCTCTATACTCCCTATGTCTTCTTTGTCTATAGCTTTGTCTATCAGTTTCAATAATCGGCCCGCAGACCTATGTGCAAGTGAGAAATATGGGGTGTGCTCGTTAGTTCTCTTTGCGTAAGAGTGAATGAGAATGATAAAGCGCCAGTGACGTCAGCGGCAACGAAAGAGCGCCGGCACAACGGGGAGATCGTTGGAGGGAGTCTTTAACTCATGAGCCCTGTCCACAACGCCCTCTTGCCATGCCCGCGGCTCATGAGTTCCGCATTCAGTTGGCACATAGGTCTCTTTGATAGAATGTAAAATCCCGCTTTTCCAATTCTACAAAAGGAATCACGCCCACTTTGCTTTCTGCACATTGCTTCTTGTGCAGTTTCGACGAGCACACTCCATATTTCTCACCTCCACATAGGTCTGTTTGGTAGAAATACGTCCATTTAACATCTGGTTAAGCGTATATATGTCGAAGGAAAATAGTCAAATCAGGCATTTTGTTAAATGCCTAGGCAAATAGTTAAATATTCTTACTTAAACTGAAACGCTGATTATTTTGCTGACGGTAGACAAAATAATTCTCTGATCATGTGGATATGAATTCCCTTTAAAAACTTGTTCCATACGACTATAAATACGTTTTTTCAAGTCCTTGAATGCAAAATCTCAAATCATGCAGCATTTCTTAAAATAAAAAGTTTTCACAATTTGGATGGTTGAAAAATTATGAGGAGCATTTCTGAACTGGAAATAAAATGACAGTTCGTACTTTGACGGATTTTCAGTCTCAAACTATTGAAAATTAGAGTACTTGTGAAAATATACAAAACCTCGTAAACATTGAAAATTTGAGTATCTGCCTAGGCATTTGACAAAACGCCTGCTTTGACTATTTTCCTCCGAAATATACATGTACAATATACTCCTCGGATGTCAGGTGGGGCAGCCCCCGAGGTTTCGTTCTTTGAAAAACACGTATCATATTGCTGAAATTCGTACCCTGTAGCCTGGGTCAATGATTTGCCTTCAAATGGCCGGGTATGCAAAATGACTCTCGTGACGCACGAATAGTGGTAGCAGAATTTTGCATGTAGATTACATAGTGGGTTGAAGGCGCTCTTCTGTATCGTATCTGAGTGGCCCTGTAGAAAGATGTTGACGAGAAATGTGCAGAATTTTGGAATTTTTAATCAAGCCGTCATTTTGAAAATTGCCCGAAGAACATTATTGCACATTCCAAGATTTTTTTCTTCTCCAAGTCTTATTTCAAAAAAGAGAGCCCAAACGCTCGGTTCAGATTGTGGTATTTAAGCCTTCTTGCTTTGGTCACTTTCATGTAAGCACTGTTTTTTGGCTCTCTGGAGGAACAACTGGCTGTACTTACGGCTGTTTTGTCTTAAACTACGTCATTTTTGCGCTCTCGCGGCTTTCTCATAAGTCTCGTCTTAATTTACTTAAGATAGGTTTTGCTGTTTTAGCCATTTCAGTGATTGCATCTAAAAGAGATAAGACGATTAAAGATTCGGAAACTCAATTTCGAAAATTTGACACTTACTGCTCTTTTCGCTATCACGGCAGCTTTGCTCATGTTAAAAATACGGAAAGGCGGGAAGTTTTAAGAGAGAAAATAAATAGGAGGATCTCTTGGATTTACTGCATAGGAATACAGGAAAACGGACGCCTTCGTAAAATGACGAGTGTCAATAGAGTTAAGGATAAGGGCTGGCAACCGGAGAGGGAGGCGGGGAGGGGAGGGCGAGTTTGCATCCCCGGGGGGAGTCGATCATTAACTTAGATTATTTGGGTCAAACTTATGGAACAAGTTAATACAGCAAAACCTGTTTCTTATTTTTGCCGTTTTCCGCGGTTGCGCGCGCCGTCCGTTGCCAAACATTTACCAAAAAAGCTCCCCGCGCACACTGCCATGATAAGGAAAAGCGTCGTATGAACATTCGAATGTTGCAAGATTTTTCCTGATAAAAAATTGATTTTGAAATAAAATTATGCACGACATCCCTTGAAATGTTGAGTTATTTTAAATGAAGTTGTGAACAAAATTGCCACAGACATTAGAAGAAAAATATTCGTAGCTTTCCCGAAGAAGTCGTGTTTTATCACAAGAAATTTGGGGACGCCTGAGGGTTTGTACGGCATTTTTCCTCAGCACAGCAGCACGGTCATGCATTCTAGGCGCTGTTCCACATTGACTCGTTTTCTGTTCTACCGTGCTGAGAAATAACGCCGTATGAGCCTCCAAACATTGCCAAAATTCCTTCGATAAAAACCGAGTTTACTGGGAGAGTTATGAATGTTTTTTTCCAAATATTTCAGAAAACTTTGAACGTAAGAGAGTTATGAATGTTTTTTTTCCAAATATTTCAGAAAATTTTGTACGTAACTTCATCTATACTAAATTTGTAGAGAATTTCAATGAAAAATATGCTTACATTTCGTCAAAAATTCATGTTTTATTAAGGAAAGTTTGACGTCTCTCGAATGTTCATACTACGTTTTTCGTTAACACGGCAGTATTAGCGTCCTATAATAATTGTGATCGAATAAAATAACATCGGCGAGGTGTGAATGATCGATTATCGATCCTTTTCCATTTGAAATTGTGGTATAGAGTCGATTATTACGGTGTTCGTCACAAACACCATGTCTATCGATCCTTATCCATAGGTTTAATTGGCAGATCTATCGATATACCGCAAATCAGGCCACGACAGCGATAAAATAACACCTACCTACATGGTTGAAGCCAGAGACGAAAAGTGGGACCCTCTGCTAACCTCTTAGCAACAGGTGGAAACTTTTACTTTCGGGGTTTAAACGCTTCCATATGGACAATTATAAAGTAACAATAGAAATCACCCTTTTTTCGGTTGTAGACGTACCTTCTAAGAGGATGATGAGTTTCGGGTGACGTAGTGAGCCGAACAACTTTACTAAACTTCGGTTTGCTCGCAAAACGAATTTCTCAACACGTTATTGAACATCCACCTCATAGATAGGTAAGTAGTTGAATGGTAGAGTCCCGGAAGTAAAAGTATCCACCATTGCCAAGATACCAATGGAGAGTCCCTCTTTGTCTCTGGTTAAATCTAATATTTACAGATTGGCAAGCAGTAATTGTCTAAAAATCCTTCATATGTTCTGTAAAGACATTAATAGCCCAAGATGCTGAATGCCTCGAATAAAATTAACTAAGTAACTAAATATCGACTATCTACATCCATTGTCGATGAAAAAATTGCATTTTGGAAGACGGTATCTCCGGTTTTTCCTTCCGGTATATCGCAAAGCATGGTGTCTATACTACTTTTTATTACTCGATACATTACTATCCATTCTAAAATTATGTATATGAGGGAGGGGAGGGGAGGGGAGGGGTAAATTAAAAAAACAGGAATAAATTAATGATCAAACATTGGTAAATACGAAATTATTTTTAAAATGATCGAAGAATCGCAATGCGGTCATTGACAGATCCAGCAACTTGGCAACATTGTCTTTTCTTCATTTAAATATATGGAAATGTATCGATTCTTGGAGGGGCCAGGTGCTCCGACAAGAATCGATTGTTCAACATAGGTTTAAATGGAGAAAATTCGATGTTGCCGAATCGCTGGATCCGCCTCTGATCTGAATGCGGTATACTACGTACACACATTGAAATTGAACGAACTTTTAACTCTCTCATCATAGGGAATTTTAAATGAATAGCTCTATAGCTCCTACGAATCTCAGTAATAATAAAATTAACACTAGATTCCATGCCATGACAAACGCAACAAGGAACAGCCACTCACTAAGGCGCGGCCAAATATTTTTTGAAAAACTTCCCGCAAACCTAAAATCCAAATACAGGGACCCAAATTTTCTAAATGTACTAAAACAATTTTTTATTGCCAAGTGTTTGTATAGTGTAGCAGAATATTTAGCTTAAGTTCTGTAATCTCTTTTCCCTTCTTTTCTTTTTTTTTCTTTTTTTTTCTTCTATCCTAACTAATTTTGACATATTTGTTTTCGCCGTTATAAATGTGCATTTACAAATAAAATAAATTATTATTATTATTATTATAAATCTGGTGGCGCGGTTGATCCAACAACAACCTTTTTGAGCTAAATTGCAACGTCAGTTTCAACTGCCCTGTTGTGGCGCGAAGTTGAGCCTAATATCCGAAGTTTCAAAACTTGCGAAGCGCCCGTCTAAAATGACGGTAGTCGTGAGCCCGCTGCGAGGACTCGTCACAGGAAGTCAAAAGGTTCCAACTTGGGAAGTCTGGCTTTTAAGGTAGCTCGGTCCGTTTAGCTCCGACCGATGCCCGGCTGACTTGGGTCCAACTTTTCAAGTGCTCGCGGATCCTCCTTATCTCGGTTCGACAGTGAGGGCTCTCGTTCAACCTAAAGGCTTTGAAGGTGCAATCGGATCGAGCTATGCAGACAAGAACCGTCCTACATTCGGAGAAAATTTAGTTAATCCTACGGGGTGTTCCAGACCACCCGTACCAGGTTTTTTGCCGGCTAATGAGAGAAGAATAATTTTTAAAAATTAAATTAATTGAAATGTAAAAAAAAAAAAAAAAATTAAATAGATGAAGACAGAAACTGAGGAAACGAATTGGGAATTGACCGGATCCCTTAGTTTACACGACCGACTTGCGATTCGGTCAACCGGTTAATTGACCGACGATGGACGAATATTCAGGTGGCCCAACTGA